GGTGGAAGGAGGAGATGGCAGAAGCTATATTTTAAGTCCTCTTACTTCTAGATCGCTTGATAAAGCAACTTAGCCCAAAGCCTAATTCACACGCTGCTCCCTTATATCTCAGTGTCTCTTCTAAAAGCCTGTGGTTGAGATTTCTTGAAATCTTTCCTAGATTTAAACACCTAAATTTATTGACTAGATGTCCCTGGGAGAAAAGAGAGGCAGAGAGAGAAATGAATTTTGAACAAGAAAAAGGATTGAAGTCTTCAGAATCCGTGAACAGCAGGGACCCTTGCCCCACTCTCGGGCAGAGTTCTAGGAGATGGCAAGTCTTGGAGGGAAGCACTGTGTGGTGTCCCAGGGAAGCTGGGTCCTGGTACACTGGCTCCAAGTCTCATCGTAGAATACCACGGTGGAAGAAGCAGAGAGGCCAGATGTGAAGGGACCACTCAGGCCGGCATAGAGAAGGACGTGGCAGCAGCCAGCCATCAATTGGCCGAGGGCTTGCGCTAATACCATAGGAAGATGCAAGGCCATTTTACCCAATAGCCACCAAAGTGGAGCCTCAGAAATCACCAAGACAGATTTCCACATTAGCCTAGCAGGATGGAGACCAAGACAGATCTAAGAGTTTTTTTTTAAATAGAGAAATGTGACATTTCTGACGCTCCAAAATTTGTGGGTTCAAATTCAGTCCAAGGCTGAGCTGAGCTGCAAGGGGGAAGGTGTTTGGGTCTGCAGGGAGCGGCGAGGGGAAGAAACACCCTCATGCCCAGGAAGAACCACAGCTCCAAGGAGGGGTAGTTTTTCCTTAGTTCTTGTGCCTGTGAATATAAAAGAGAATGTCAACGCCCAAGGAAGCTGAAGGCGGACTTCCAGAGGACTCCTAGGGGAGCTGTCTGCCAGCATTTCCCATTCTCTCTCTCTTTCTCTTTCCCCTCTCTCCCATACACACACACCCACCTTGTCCCCAGCTAGGGAAGGGGTTCAGAGGGGCTGGGGATAACAGAGATTAGAAGCCCATTCCCGGGCATGGAGATCCCCTCCAAGGCTAAATTGCCACGTTTTCCTCATGGCCAGTGCCACCTGGAAACCTTTGAGATGCTTTGTAAATTACAAAGGCCTAATAAATTAGACATGCACCATAAAGGCCTGAGATTTTTATGGCCCCAAAGCAGGTGTAACAAACAGCTGGAGAAGGCAAACAAAGCTGCTTCCCAGCAGGCAGGTGCACTGACCCAGAGAAGTAGGGTGGCCAGCCCAGCTGTCTCAAGCGCTCCCTCCCTCCCTCCACACCCCCTTCTCTCTTTCTCTTCCTTTTTTCCCTTCCTCTTTTCCTTTCCTAACTCAATCCAAAAACATGGGTTGTGGTTCAGGAACCTTGTTTAGATGTTATGGTTACAAAGGCAGCCTTTAGTCCCTGCACTAAAGGATGTTGTACCATTTTTATCCATTACTCATGCATCTATTTTCTCATTCAACACATATTTATGACTTGCTGGGTTAGGGAAAACACAGCCATCTGGGCTTAGTGCTGACACTAATACCTACCCTATTGCAGCTTCCTTCTACCGGGCGTTCAGAGAAATACATGATCCTGCAGACTGGTTACAGAAATCTGCCTTAGCTTTTCCCTATCTCTTTCTCCATTCCTAAACTCCTCTATGACCGTATTCACTAATTTTTCTTCCTAAAAAGGGAAGTTGTTTGCGCCTGAAATTCTAAACTCCTTGATTTCAGACAAGGCCCAGGGTGGTATAAATAAGCACATGAATATTTAGCAAAAATGACTGCTATGCGAAGCTTGAAGCACTGTTGTCATAATGCAGAGCCCACTTTAATCGCAGCCACAGGGAAAGCATTTGTCGCTGCCTTATCACACGGAATGATTTTCCCACTAGCTGTGGCTGCCAGCCAGTTGGCTGTGGAGCCAGCGCCCACTTGGTCCTTCGGGTCACAATACCAGTCGGCACGCTCCACCTCCACCAGGCCTTGACATTTCTATTTGTGCAGGAGGTACCGGGTCAGGAACAGAACGGCAGAATCACGGGCTCAGTCTTATTTACGCTGAACGTGAATCTCATTTTGGCGCAGAAGCCAAACCTGAGTACATCAGGGTGACTTGGAAGCTTGCTGATGGAAGCCGGCTGCTGGCATCTGGAGCTTGTCTGTCCCTTTACATTCCCAAAGCAGGTGGCAGAGGATGTACGGGTGCTTTGAGAGGAAGGCCAGGCATGCTCGCTAGTTGTCTATCCCAGAGGATGCTGCCAAGGGCTCCTTCAGACTTTACCTGGCGAAGTTCATAGCCACTTAGATTCCACAACAGCTGCCGCTTTGAAATATTGTAAAATCAGATGGGTCCTTCTGAGTCTAGCCAGGATGGAGTAATAGTGATCATATTTACTCTCCCATTTTTTTTTAAAGTGAACAAAATATGAAACAACACTTTTCAAGTCACTGACTTTCGGGCAATAAAGAATCCCTGGGAGCTGAGAAGCCAACACCAGGAGCCCGGAAATAGTCTGGAATGCTGATTTGGGAGAGTCCATGGGTTGCCCTTCAGGAGAAAGAAACCCAGGCAGAGGGCCATGGGCTTCCTGCATTGGGCTGGGGCTGAGATGCTGGTATGAGTAGGGCAGATTCTAGAGAGGAGACAGCATTGTGCAGAGGGCACTCTAGAAAGTTCAGAGTGTCCCCCAAGAGTAGTCAGCCAAGTTGTGACCAGTGTCTGTGTGTGACAGAGCTACATGAGTTCGGGAAAGAACCTCCTGGAAGGAGATGTCACAATTCCCATCAACCACATAAACCTGCTCCCACCAACCACACCGGACAACTTCCTGGCACAGGGAGATGGGGGAGAGTCACAGAAGAGACTGACTTGAGTAGTGGGGGAAAATTAGCCCTTCACTAAGTGTGACCCCAGCCCTGATAAGCAGACCTTAAAGCTCAAGACCCAAAGGGATCCAAATATTTCCAAATAATTTAACTGCAACTCAGAATAAAAGCTCAAGAATCATTTCCAGAAGACAAATATCCAGGGCCCAGCAAAGTACAATGCAGTATCTGGCATCCAATCAAAAATTGCCAAGTATACAAAGAAGCAAGAAAACACAACTCATCATTAGGAGGAAAACCAATCAATAAATCTCAACCAGAGCCCTCGTGTGTGTTAGGGATAGGGATATTAAAACAGCTATTACAAATTTATGTTCACAAAGTTAAGCAGAGACACCCCTTTAAAAGTCAGTGGAATTGACTCAGGAGAGTGGATACTAAGTTGGATAAAGGGTCTAGAGGGGTAATGGGGAGAACACAAGGAATGTAGGGGAGAGACCCAGAATGAGGGAGCTCGGACGTCTAGGAAATGGTAAAGCCTTCCCTTCTCTCCCACCTTCGGATCCTAAGTATATAAAAAATGAGAGAGGCCTTGCGTCTTTCCTCATTTCTCCCCTACTTTTGCATTCAATGGATGACTTTTATCTCATACAACATAGAAAAAGATAGCAAATATCGGATGGGCACTCTCTGATCTGTCCAGGAGCAATCATAACAGACGAGTGTATCTCCCTCCAACCACTGCTGCCTGCTCCCTGGTTCAAATGAAAAATTACCCAGCCTCCTCCTCACTGGGGCAGGACTTGCTTCGTCCTTTTGCGCCGGTGTCTCTTCCTCACTACCAGGTCATGCTCTGGAGCAGAGGGCGTGCCGTGCCTTTCCTGTACTCCCAGCTTCCATCCCTGACCACTGCGCCACACCTTCTTCTAACCCCTGCCAGGATGACCCAACTTTGTGGCTAATCTTGCGCCTTGGTGTCCTGCTATGAGCCGCAGTCCTGCCCCATGACCATCAGCAGTTCTAACTGTAACTCTGCACCTTGCCCACATCACGCCACTCACCGTGAATGGAAGAGCTGGGGTCTAACCCCAGGTATTGTAATTGCAAATATTTTCATTATGCCAGAGGGACTGAGGTCACAGCAGTGAGACAGCCTTGGCAGAGCTTTGGCATTCAGACTCCTCTTCAACCTGTGCCCGGTGTGGAGAATTTCTGCAGGGCTGGTTACCTGTAACAATCTGGAGAGTTCTCGGCCCGTCCTGCCATTCTTCTGACCTTGCTCCTCTTCAGAGATTCCCCCTTCAAGTGCGGAAGCGTCCCTGTTTTGTCCTTGACTGTGGGTTATTTTGTTCAGGAATAAGGAAATCCATGTAGACTGAGTTTCTGCAAAATGTTTTAACCTGTTTGATCTTACAAAACAATGACACCAACCTTGTGAGAAGGGACTCAGGACACCATTGTGTGTGTGTGTGTGTGTGTGTACTAGTTGAACAAAGATGTAATTCCTCTAGATACTGAACAGGGAATAGGAAGAGTATAGCAAATTGGAGCAATTACTTAGCCAAATATCAAGATTTATTCATAAGATAAAGTAATCAAAATTGTATGGTATTTTCACAAAAACAGAGTAAACAAACAAACAAAAAAAACCCCTGGAGATCATACAGTGTAAAATTTTGTAAGATTTTATTTAAGCTCTAAGAACAGAAAGCGAAAGGCCATTCTACCACTCTATGATAGAATGATAAATATAATTTTAAACATCAATAATTTCCTAAACTCCTCTATGACTCCTCTATTATTTAAATAAATTTAAATAATCTATTAAAAGATAAGACTTTCAAATTGGTTCTTAAAGAGAGACTCAGTTCTATATTATAAGGCATGATTTATAAAGGAAGCAAAAACTTGAACAAATGGAAAAGGTTGTCATTTTATTGGATAGGAAATCATAGACCATAAAAAGATAAATTCTCCCCAAGTTAACTTATAATTTCAAACACTCTTCAATAAAAGTCACCAAATTATTTGAAACTTGACAGGCTGATTCTAAAGTTCTTTTGAGAAATATATTTAATATAGGCAAAGACATTCTGCAAAAAAACAAAATAAGTACTAATACATATTATAAAGTTATAATAAGTTAAGCAGTGTGGTACATGAATTAGTAAGTGCATTAGAATGGAAAGTCAGATACATATCAAAATAAGAAATTTAATAAATTTTTAGAAGAACATACTATTGAACAAATAATGTTCAAAGTGGTGGCCAGCTAGAAAAAAAAACAAACATCATACACCAAAATAATTTCCAGATAGATCAGATTTGAATGAAAAAATTATTTGTAGGAATACTAAACAAAAAGACTTTGCAAGTTTGACACAAAACCCAGATAGGAATAAAACATTCCTAAATTAGCTATTTAAAAACATATAAGTGCATTTAAATATCGAGGCACTATCATAAAGGCAACATACAAATGGCACAATAGGAGGAAAAAGAAAACATGTAGACAATGGTGTACAGATATAATCTATACAAGTAAGTATAGGGACCAGCACCGCGGCTCAATAGCTAGTCCTCCACCTGCGGTGCCGGCATACCGGGTTCTAGTCCCGGTAGGGGTGCCGGATTCTGTCCTGGTTGCCCCTCTTCCAGGAGTGCAGTGGAGGATGGCCCAAGTTCTTGGGCCCTGCACCCACATGGGAGACCAGGAGAAGCACCTGGCTCCTGCCTTCGGATCAGCGTGGTGCACCAGCCACAGCGCACTGGCCGCGGTGGCCATTGGAGGGTGAACCAATGGCAAAAGGAAGATCTTTCTCTGTCTCTCTCACTGTCCACGCCACCTGTCAAAAAAAAAAAAAAATAGTATAGGTAAAAAAAAGTACCAACAGTAGAAAAATGCACAAAGCTTCATTTTTTGATATATAGTTTAAACTATATATTTAAATCCCCTAATGGAAATGATTTTATTTTCCAGTCTCTCTAGCCATGTCTTTAATACAATTGTCATAATTTATTGATTCTTCATTTACTTTTCCAAATGATATTTCTTCCATGTCTGCTCTGCTCACTCACTTTTCCATCTTCAGATACCATTCAATTAAAAATTCAGTTTAACTTGCACCTTCACTGGCTTCCCTGATAACCCTCCAAGGTCAAGTCTGACCTCGGGCAGCATGTGCCAGCGACCCACCTACTACCAAGGGAGACAGCAGACAGAACCCAGGTCTGTTTCAAAGCTAAACGTAACTAACGGCCTTCTTCTCAGCACTCTGCTCTCCCTGTCAATCAGCGTGTCTGCTGAACACCTGCTTCACATCCCGCTCTCGCTCCTTGGTGGCCACCAGTGCTTGATCTCAACACCCTTTGACATGGAATCCATGCAGACTGAGCTTCACCCTTCTTCGGGACAGAGACTAGAGGCACTTCAAAGAGTAGCGACATTCAGTCTCAACTCAGGTGGACCCACCTGCATGGCATTTACCCTCCCCTCAGTGTTCCAGCCACACAAAGCTAATGTTTCAACCAGTGCCTTAAAGTTCAATACTTTCCCAGTGTTAATGGAAAACAATGAGTAACTTGTTTTTATTTTGCTTTTTTTTCTTCCCTCCTTCTCCCTTTCCTTCTTTCTCCTCCTCCATCTCCTCCTCCTTCCCCAGAGTTGTCCCTAAACTCTTTGGCTTTATAAAGCAGTCCATTTAGGTTTCCATATTTGTAGGTGTTATGTCCTGAACTGAAGTCAGCCTGGATTTATATTAGAAATTTCCTAAAATGTAGAGAAGAGGAAGAGGAAGGGAAAAGGATGTTATTGTTGTTGAATGCCTATCCACTGAGGACAGCAGAAGAACCATTTTGAGTTTTGCCAAAATTAGCATTGCTAGATAAATTGAGAGCCTTATGTCCCTCCAGTTGCCAGGAGAGTATGCCAGCTAATTTTAGCCCACTGTGTAAATATAACCAGCCCTGGTATGCACTGGCCTTTAACATCCACACAGGTCAAGGATGTCCTGAAGCAGCCAGAGAAATGCCTCCACTAGCCCAGTCTTGACCAGGCTTCCTGGGCCCTTAGGCCCTGCCCCTCTTAACATACTGATTTTTTTTCCACTTGGGAACGCTCTTGGCCATCGTTTGGCCCGACCCTATGCATGAGGCGTGACCTCTTCTGCTTCTCTGAGCAGAAAACCTGCCCAGCAAAGCCAGTGACATCTGCAGTCCTTGAGGCAGGTGCTGCTTCTGTCATTTGCTCTCAACAATGTCATTCTCAGAAGAGCTAGAAATGGCATTTTGGAAGGAAATGGTCCTGTGTGTTTTTCTAGAAAATTGCCCTTTTGACTCAACTCTGAAACACCCTCTCCCGGAGTGCAGTGTAACTGCTTTCTAACGTCCTAGCCAGGAGAGGTCACAATAGAGCTGATTGTGTAGGCAGTCCTGTGCATCAGGCCTCCTGCAGAACTGGCAGGGGCAGGGTGCTGGGAGGCCCACACAAAGCAGAAGGAACACAAAAGGTGGGGAGATGCTCCCAAGCCGGCCTACAGCTCGAGTGTGAGGGCCAGCTCCCTGCGTACCTCAGTAGCCTCGTCGTCTACACCAAAGTGCTTACAGTGCCTACCTCTTAGGGCTTCCATGGAGCTTACTTGACTTGATATATGCAAAGACTATGGAAAAGTTCCTGAAAAAGCATGGATGCTCAATAAATAGGAACGACTGGTGTATCGTTGTCATATGGACTGAAATCACAAACCTAAGCCTGGATTTCCTCATCAGTAAAATGAGCCTAGGGAATGGGTTGGAAGTAGAAATTTCCTTGGTTCTGCCCAGGATCTGCGTGTGCCTGCAATGTGGCAGCTCCTTTGCTACTTCTGCAGGCCCTTGGGAATCTTCGCCTGCACCAGTGACACTGACCGACCCCTCGAGTGGCCCCAAAGGCGAGGCACAGTGACCAGAGATGTGTGAGGACACGTGTTTGTGCTCAGTATTGTGTTCTTGAGGGCTACTGAGAATTAAATCATGATCAAGACAAAATGGCTGTTAAATATGTCAAGTGTATAAAATAACTTGAATAGCATTTAACAGAGAGAGAAAATACTTGTGAATTTTTCCCTGTTATCTTCTTGTTTCTGGGTTTTGGCTTTGTGGGCTTTGTTTGGTGGTTTTTACGGCAAAGTTGGTCACAAGAATGAGAGTGTGATGGAGTTATTAGCCCAAGTGGACCAGCTAGGCTGCTATTCTGATTCAAAGATCCTTGGCAAACACTGAGAATAACTGAGACAAATAAAAATGGCTTATCACTGCCCTGTAGACGATGTGAACCTGAGGAATGGGGCTAATATAAGCTGGAGACTAATATCCCACATTTTCCTCATTCGATTAAGGGTGCGTCATGTTATTTGTTTTTAGCAGCCAGTTAATCCTGCTGTGTTTTTGCTTAGACTACTATTAAGGATAGTGTGTATTTCCAGAGGTAGCCAAGCAATTGGGATAAGACAGTGACGTGGGGATGTTAAAAGTGGCAAAGGGACAACTGTAAAGCGAACCATGTGAGAAGAGAGTCGGAGGAAAGTCAGTAGTCAGTGGGGGATATTGCTGCCTATCTTCCTGACATAGGGAAGCAACTCTTGGAGGGAAACCATTTCTCCTACATTTCCCCTCATTTGTAAGTTTCCAAAGACTGACTTCTAGTGCTACCTTATTATTTGTTGTTCTTGGCAAACATCTTTCATTGTAGCTCCTCCCACCCTCCCTGTGGCCCTCAGGAGACTCATGGTTAAGCTTTGCTCTTGTGTAATAAAGGCTGTGACAAGTTGAGAGAAACTGCTCCTCTCCATCTCAAACCCTGTAGGAAAAGGACTTTTCTATTTTAAAATGCATCTAGTAAAAAGAGCACTGGCCCAGAAATCCAACAGACTGAGTTCAATCCCCTATTCTTCAGTTCACAAACAGTGTGACCTGGGACAAGCTATTTAACCACTGTGAACCTTGCAACAGGAACTGGGGTCCACTTGGCCTGGCTTGACTTTAGCTCAGTAAAGGTCAGTGCTTCGCTCTCATGAGTCTGTTTAAGCCCCACAATACCTCTGTGAGGTGGGTGTTATCATTTGTAGTGTTTTCCAGATGAGAAAACCAAAGCTGGTAAGTGTTTCATAAGTCATGCCTCACTACCATAAGGCTTCTTTAGTGCTGCAGGGACTGCCACACGTTGCTTTAGGGTCCCTTACTGAGAGGCCATTGATGTGCATGGGACCTTGCTCACAGATCCTTTGAATTGACTGCACCTGTGCCTATCACTAGTGGGAGTAGAAGGAAGAGGAGGAATGTGGTTTCCCCGCCCTTGTCTTCATGTCAGCCCATCTGTCTCCCTCTCTTTTTCCTACTCCATGTTGATGACAGTTTCTCTCAACTGCAGGTAATTTAGTTGATTAATTCTCTCTCTCTCTCTCTCTCACACACACACACACACGCACACAACTTCTCACCACTCACATCCTGCCATGGCCACAAGGGTGACCCCAAGACCTGACTTTTCTGTGATGCTTAATTGAGTCTGCTGAAGGTCCCAAGTCTAACAACTTGGCATAGGCTTGTCTGTAGGAAAAGACTCAAGGCCAACAAAAAACCCAGAGACTGGTAGAAACAGAAGCTTCACGGAAGGCCACCTACACGGAGTCCTCAATGACACCTCCTAAGGAAAAGGCCAACAACAGATTTCTGACCCTGAGATCTCTGGTGTCTCTGGGCCCTGCCCTTCTGCAGCCTGGTTCTTCTTCTCTTTCTTCCATTCTTTGAACTTCTCAGTGTCCCTCACAGCTACCTGAATCAGTTTGAGAAATTAGATTTGAGTTGGGTCTGACATTTGCCAACAGGGGCTTTCCAGTTTAGTTCACTCAAGTCTTATATCCAGAAGTGGAAGGGAAAGAGAATCCTAAATGTAAATACACTTTTTTCTGAAGATGACTCATTCATCAACAAACTTATTGGACACCTACTGCATGCAAGTGCTGCACTGAGGACTTGGCATTCAAGGGTTAATAAAACATCCCTAAAGGAGCTCTTGCTCTAAAAGAAGATGATAAACACTGAGTAAAAGTGCAGTAAATGCCCCCAGGGCATTGATAAAGCTCACAGGGAACGCTGCAGGCAGGAAGAACGGAGTCAGTTCTTCTGGAAGGTTCAGGAAAGTCACCAAAGATAAGAACCCTTGATGATGTTTGAAAGATGAGCATTACCTGGGTTTTTGCTATTCAGAGTGTTGTCCATGGGCTGGCAGCTTTAGCATCATCAGTTAGAAATACAGCATCCGGGGTCCCTATGCAGATCTAAGGAATCCACAACAAATTTGAACAAAGCGCTCAGGTGATTGATGCCCCATTAAGGTTTGAAAGGTGCTGATCTAGACAACAAAGGGGGAGAGAAAGTGTCATTTCAGGCACAGGGACCAGTTTGAACAACGTTGGCTGAAGTGCTGGATGTGTTCATGTGCTCATGATGTGTTCATGAGACTGTTAGTCTCTGCATAGGCTGAGAGGAAGGATGTGGCACAAATTAAAGCAAGGCCAGACCAGGGAGGGGCTTGTGATCCATGCAAGAGGGCTGGACTTTATCCTATCAGTACTGGGGAACCAGGAAAGTCAGATGTGACATCATCAGAGTGCACATTTTAAAGAGAAGAACTTTCCCGGCAAGCAGAGTAAGGGATGAAGTTTGGACATGAGCTCGAAAGGAGGGGAGGCAAAAGAACAAGTTTTAAAGCTAAATGCCTAACAATGGTATAGAAGATGGATGTGACAGAGGTCAGCAATTGGCATACTCCTATCTCATGGAAGAGATGATGAGGATCAAAAAGACAGAAATGGCCATGGAGATGGGGAAGAAGAGAGGACCAGGAGAGAGAAAATGAGGGGACATCTAGAGAACACACTCAGAGGCTGAAATTGCATTCTGTGGCTGGGTGTTTCTGGCTTAAGTGACAGAGGGGACGTGATGGAAGAGTGAGTATGGAATAGAAGATGAGAGGTTCCATTGGCGGGCCCTGAGTTTGAGTGCTCTCTGGGGCATACATGTGGGAGATAAACAGACACAGATCAGCACCAAATACTGACCTTTGTATACAAGGACAATTTAAAAAGTTCATAGAAAGAGGAATGAAAAGTTTACTTGGGGAAAAATTTTGAAATCCACACATAGGAGGGGTCTCTCAAAATCTCACAAAAATGAATATTATGAAAACTTATCCATAGATTTCCATTTTTTTTGCACCAAAATAAACTTATCTTCTAATTACATTTTTCCATGGAGATTTTGAAATAGCTTGTCCACAGTCTCCTGAAATTCCTCAATTATAACCTAATTTATTTATTTAGATGTAACTAATCCAGTTAGCTCTGATGTAGAATTTAGTGGTCATGAACTAAGACTCGACAGCTTAGAACTGAGCTTCAGCCTGTCACCCGTGCTACCTGTACACCCAATGTGGAAAGCCATAGAAGCATCAGCAGAAATCAGAATGAGATGAGTCAGACAGAAAAAGAGGACTTCTTTCTGTTTTTCCTAAATACCCCCTAGCTCCCTTAAGTGCAATTCAACTTAACAGGTAAAGATTGAGCATCTACCATGAGGCAAGCACTGATAGGCACAGGGGATCCGATAACAAGAAAAAGTTGCCCTTCCCCGGGCGTCCATCTAGCAAGGGAGACAGCTGGAAAGGAATATGGCAGAGGCAGAGATCTTCTGCTCAGTTCTCCCTTCAAGAAAGGACCTGGGGCTCTCAAGTGTGTGGTTGGAGGACAGCCTCTAAGTACTTAGCACCTCCAGTACTTAACAGCCTCTAAGTACTTAGTACCTCCAGTACTTAGCACCACTGGGTCTATCTTGGCTTTCCAGGTAGGGCTCGTTCATCTCGGGTGACTTCAAGCCAGTGGCTACGCAAAGCAGTGGTAACTGCAGGGGTCTTGAGCTGACCCCCAACTACGGTTGTCATATTTAGCAAAAAGAAACACAGCAAAGAATGTTGAGGGGTGGGCATTATGATGTAGTTTAAGCTGCTGCTTGGGAGGCTCCAAACTCAGGTAAGAGGGCTAGCTTGACTTTTGGATAACTGTTTGCAATCCAGCTCCCAACAAGGCAACTGGGAAGGAGCAGATAATGGCTGTAGTACTTGAGTCCCTGCTACCCGTGCAGGAGACTTTGATAGAGCTCCTGGCTTTGTCCTGGCTCAGCCCCAGCTGCTGCAGCCATTCGGAGAAAGAAGCTGCAAATGGAAGGTTTCTTTCTCTAATTCTCTGTCCCCCCTCTCTGTCACTCTGCCTTTCATATAAATAAATAAATACTAATTAAAAAATGTTCTGAGAAATCAGATGATAAGATAAAGGCTGGGGGACTGGATCACTCACTGCTCAGTTGCTGTTAGGAACCCATCCCTGGTGGTACACATGATGGTGTGCAGTCTCTGGCAGGAGATGGGGGTCCAGTTGTTAAAAGTTTCACCAGCCATGGGCTGGGATGGCTTATAGGCAGAGAGGAACACACTGATTCAAGCATTTGAAACATATCTTGGATTTCTAAGTATGAGAATAAAGGAATTTGCTGATTATGACTAAGTTGCATTGGTCTCCCAATGAGAATCTGAGAGCAGTTAAGGAACAACGGAAACTAACTAGCAAAGGAGTCTCCCAGACAGAATCCCTTTTACTTTGGGTGGACAGGAAAAAGCTAAAGATTAAGCACAGGATATAACAGAAGTACTGAACTTCAAAGACAAGCAAATGCTCAATCAACCCTGGCTGTGATGCCAAAGTCAGGTGTTAGATGCCAAAACCAGGGATCCTGACACATGGGATTGGAATGTTTGCATGGATGGTCCCTAGACTCCTCTGAACCTTCTGGGCTTACCAGGGTGGCTTGCCCCTCTGAATTAACAGCGAGCATTTTGTACAGGAAGATCCTTGGGTCATCCCCAAAAGGCAAAAGGTGGCTCCTTTTTCCTCTTTACATCCAGCCCATGTAGAACTAAGTCACAGGACAGCCTAGCCAGGAATATTCTGGCCTTGATAAGGGAGGAAACATCATAACCCAAAGGGGCAGCAGATGGCATCAAGGTATATGAGCAAGAATCACCTTACTTGATCCCTCCAACCAACTGGAGTGTAAGTCTGTGTCAGGGAGACTTGAGGACACTGTGTTGAGATACAGGATTTAACATCCTGGGGATGGATGCAAAGTTGCCACTAGGGTAGCTCCTAGAAGCCTGGAGAAAGCACTAGTCCCAGCTAGGAGGCTGATTGACATGGAAAGTGGGAAATTAGAAGTTCCAGAGAAGTAGACTTGCAAAAATCAGTGCCTTGTGTAAGGTCAACCAGAAGACACACAAGACACACCCACCATTCACCAAGGCCATCCAGAATGTGCCAGCGAGAGAAGCATAGCCAGCACCACCAGGGACTCAGTGGTGCCGCCTCTCTGGGTCCAGGGCTGACAAGGGAACACTCCACTCCAGAACTCAGCTCACGATGCCAGTGGGATGTGGCCCCCACCCCACTTCCAAAGTAACTGAAGTTGGCTGGTGATACCTATCACTGAAAGGATGGTGTTTGTCATTGTCATGACAACCAATGGGAACAGGTTGGTGGCCAAGAGGACATAATCCAAAGATCATCATGGAGGGGGTGACTAGAACTCACCCTTCCTGGGAATAATGTGAAGAGCCAGCTAGCAAGGGTCTTGTTTAACATACGGAACAAAAAGGGAGGAAGAACAGATGCCCAGGAGGCCAAAGGAAATTGTCCCAGTGAAGTGTTGCAATAACATGGCCAGGTTTCTAGACTGGTTTTCAGGTTCAAAATCTGTTGACTGAAAAGGAGACTAGGTCCACAGGGGCGAGGATCCCACAATACCATGGCAAGTTCAGGATCCCCTAAGTCTTTCCCAAAGGAAGTTGTTGTCATCTCCTTGACTGTACATTGAGGGAAAAAAAATGTCCAGACTGCTCAATGACTGCTGGACACAGGATCCAGATTGCCATGGACACATCAAGAATTGACGCGTCGTCATGTGCCCTGATTACAAGCCAGGAACATGGGACTCAGCCTAGAAATGGAGTCCTGGCCAGAGCATGGTTTGTAGTGTGCCCGCTGGTGCATGGACCCACATGGCAGTCACTTTTTCTGCTCAAAAATGTTTCAGCAGCATTATTAGACTGGACAGTTGATGTAACTCCCACCACCGGGTCCTTGGCCTCAGATAAGAGCTGGAGTAGCGGAGAAGGTTAAGTCAATGCCTCAGAAATTCCTGGCTACAGTTAGTAAACAAAAAACAGTTCTGTATCCTGGGAGGAATAGTGGAGATTAAAGATCTAAGGATGCAGAAATAGTGGCCTTGTCATATCTTCACTTAGTTCCCTAAGTCTCACTGCTGCAGCAACTGAATGGCTCCTGGAGGATTACTGTAGACTACAGCAAGTCCAGTGAAGTAGTGGCTCTGATTATATCTCCTGTGCCAGACATGGCACCATTGCTGGAATAGATAGACATGGCTTTGGGTTTATAGTATGCAACCACTGATTGAGCAACTGCAGGCTTTTTAGTCCCAAACAGACGAGGCCATCAGCAATGGTTCACATTCTAAAGGAATTCAGCAGAATTCCACACTTAACAATTTTGCTTCAGGGCTGTTGTTAACTGTCCTGCCTTCTGCCATAACATACCCTAAGGAGATTTGGACTGTCTGGATGGTGCAGAGGACATCAGCTTGGCCCATTGAATTGACGATGTGCTGGGGAAGAAGTGACTGTCACACTGGAAGCCTTAGGAAGAACACGGATTCATTCAGAGGGCGACAGTAAATCCTAGACGATTCAGAGACCTGACCCTTCAGTAAAACTCAGGGGCCCTAGGTTCGGGCTACATTAGATATTCTGTCCAAAGTGAAAGGCAGATGTGATTTTTCTTGTGTTCTTATTAAAAACAGGGGAGTACAATGCTGATAGGCCTTGTCATGGCCTGGGGGCTACATACTCTACACCTAGAAGTGTTGCCTGAGCCCAGGGCAGTGGGCCTGTGACTGTGGGATTCACTGGGTGTATCCCGTACCCACCACACAGCCTGCTGAAGGTACCGCCAGAGCACCAGCCCAGCGGCCTAGCCTACTGGAATAGCGTGCCTTCCTCCAGCATGCTGCCACATGCACTTTAAAGTGGAGGTCTCTGGAGGCATGCTCTTGGAAAATAACTCTCATGAGAAGATTGGTTATAAGAACCTGCGTCAGGCCCAGCCATTCTCCCTGTTCCCGGAATCCCCACAGAATCTTTCTTCTTGCCCACGTTCTCTCTTGTCCTGCGATTATCTGTGCCACCTGGGCCTCTGCCAGCAAGGGCACCATCCCCAGATGCTGAACCAATGGGGTCACCCCATCCTGGACTGAGGACTTCCAAGCCTTCATAAGTTAGCTCTCTCTGGTATTTCATCGTAGTAACAAAGAGTTGATTCACAGGATGAGGATTAATATGATCACAGAGGGAGAGTCTGGAGTGACACAGCCGTGGCTAAGCAGTGCCTGGAGCCACCAGAACCTGGGATGGGAAAGGAACAGATTCTCCCTTGGAGCCCATAAAGGAAGCATGGCCCTGCTGACCCCTTGACTTTAGACTTCCGACTCCTGAACTGTGGGAGAATGCATTTCTGTTGTCTGAAACCACCGTGTTTGGGGTAATTTATTATGGCAACCTCAGACACATTGCTTTTCCAAGACATCCCCCCTCAAGCTGCTGTACTCATAAACACAACTCTGCACCTGCTGCTTGGAGCAGCTAGACCTGCAAAAGCGGGCTATGAGACAGTGAAGTGTGCGGTTGGATGGCAGCGGGGAGGGCACCCAGTGCAGCTGGAGTGGAGAGGTGGGAGAGAGAGGACAGAGGACAGTCTGCACGAGGTGGTACCTCAAGTGCCTGGGCATGGTAGGAGCCAGCCACGTCAGCAGACAGCAAACAGAAAGTGGATCCCACTGGAGGAACTAGCAAGTACTCAGTACAGAGGAAATGAGTGGTGGTGATGTAAGGGTAGTGAGGCAAGCAAAGGCCAGTTCAAACTGGGCTTTGGAAGCGATCTTGTGACTTTGTACTTAATCCTGCAAGATTTTAAACAGAGGGTGCCCTGGCCAGCATTCCACTAATAAAGATGAATTCATTTGACTTAAAAGGATTGGGAGAACACAGCTATTCCTGAGAAAAACAGCACAATAAAAACCTCGCTATTGATGTCTTGGTGGAAACAGCTGTGTCCAATCCTGTGCTAAGAACGCGTTCACTGGGGAGAAGGCGACATCGTGACGGCCTTGGGCAGCTCTCTCTTCGGAGTTTGATAAGGACAACTTACATGCAGGCTTCTTTCCATCTGTACATAAGGCGTGTTGCAAAAGCAGCTTCAAACCCCTCTTCCAACCAACCAGCTTCCTTCCATTCAGGGATGGTCAACCCCAAATCTCTTCTACACAGCAACTCTGGTGCTGCCTGTAGCCGTGTGTACTTTCAGCACAGGAAGGGTTTCTCAAGCGGGGAGGAGTAGAAGTGATGCAGAAAGTGGCCTAAGCATCTGCAGCCGTGGCTCCTCCCTGGGGGCAGCCTGGGCCAGCGTGGGGTCCTTATCTCACCAGAGCAGCTGGGGGACGTGACCAAGCCCTGTGAGCCAGAGAGTCTTAGGCACCCTAGGAAGGCCCAGCCTACTCAGGAAATTGTTATCTTACCTCCCTTTGGGAACAAAGGGGAAGCTTTGTTTGATGCAGACTTCAAAAAGGAGTGGCCTTCAGGCCACATCTGGTGTATTTTCTGTGGTTCTGCTCTTGTTGCTTTTAATTGAACCAACATTCAGATATGGGAAGGGGTCACGTGACAGTCCAGACTTCCAGGTTCCCCTGTCAATTCAGGAGCCTTCCTACAGGGATCAGAGCCCAGCAGAGGCCACCCTGTTCTTGTGGGGCAAGTCCTCCCCTCTACCCAGAGCCACGCCCTGGGAGGAGCTTCTCCCGCTCACAGAGGCCAAGAGTTTTGCCTCTTTCTAAGATGAGCA